TATATATATATATATATATATATATATATATATATATATATATACACACACATACACTAAAATAAACTGCTACTTACTATTTGTACTACCAGTACTATTCCTACTTTGTGGTTTTTCACTTATCGCAGGGCTTCATGGTACAGATTCCCCACGATAAACAAGGCATTACTGTATATGTAAACTTTGTGAACTATATAACGTTAAAAATTAGCAACGTGCCGTCTTCTGTTATGGTGTGTAGCTGCATCTAGGCATAACAAAGATCCCTACGTAAAGTAGTTTTCCACATCAAAATCTTGTCCAGAGAAACACTCGCCTCTAATTCTACAAGCGTTCACCATACAAACCCCTCTACGACAGGGCATCGGTGACCCCTGTCACCCATCTAACTTGTCACTACCGTCGAGCTTCCAAGATATTTAAAATGATCCCCTTGGTCAACTGTTGCCCGTTGATGTAAGAGTCGGGCCTTTCTCCCACATTCAAAGTTTCTCTTTTGTTTTTGAGCCAAAGCCCCATATTCTGTGACAGACGGTCACATGCATGCAGAAGAACTTGGAAGTGGAGTGTGATGTCATCAAAGTAGTTTGATCTGCCAAATATCTTAAGAACCACTGGATCTGAACTCTATCTCTCAGAAAGTAATCACTGAATGTACATGTACAAGTGATTGACTTTAGAGTCAGCTCCTGGCCACCACAGCTAGGCAAACTAGCGAAGGCTAAATACATTTATCATATTTACATTTGTCATATTTACAGATAAGTCCTATGAGTCTTGGCTCCTATAACTCCTTTATCTGAATTAGGGATGCACCAATCCACTTTTTTTACTTCCGATCCCAATACCTAAATCTGAGTACCGGCCGATACCGATCCAGTTCCGATATCATCATCATTGATTTTATATGAGGCTGTAATAATCTCCTCTCAAGTTCAATTTGTACAAATATTTGCATGCATGTCCAAAAAGGCAACTTGAGGTAAGTTTTATTAATGTTGGATAAGTTTTAAAGTTAGAATTAAATTCTGCTAACACAAAACAAGTTTATTTTTATTCCTAGTTTTAAAGTGGATATTAAAGTGATTAATTTAAGTGATTGTTTAAAGTTGTTTTATATTTTATAAGGAGCAGATATAAGAATTTTTTCTTCTTTCTGCACTCTTTTCATTCAATGTGTTCTTTTTGATGATTTTTTTTTTATTTTGTTTCATTTAAATGAATGAATAAATGAATTAAATAAAATAAAATGTTAAATTGCTTCAAACACCTGCTAAGTTCATGGCATAAACCAACAGACATGTTCCTGTTTTTAGTATTTTACATCACTTTATAATGTAGCAGTTTATGTTTTTAATATATATAAATTTCAAATCATATGTTTTTTATGATTGTCTACTGTTGTACTGATAAATATCTCCTTGAGGGTAAACTATATCTTGGCTGCAAGTATCAAGCTTCTACAACTGATAGTGGTTGGTCATTAATTATGATGAAGTTTAGCAACTTCTCTGTAAACATTTGAGCTCCGTGGTTTCAGCGACGTCTACTTCTTGTTCAATCCGAAGCAGGCAGCCTGATTTGGGGCAGCCGCGCTCAGTCTGTCCCTCCTCAGAGACGGGCAGACTGAGCAGGGCAGATTGGACGCGGCTGGCCGGGGTCGAGTCGCTTGTTGTGGGTTGAGCAAAGAGCAGCGCCCCGCTGAAGCCACGGAGCTCGAATGTCCATCGTAAAACTAACTTTAACGTGGTTTAAAGTGGCGCTGTGGCTCTGTAGACATTGCACGTTGCTGTCTTGTTTTGTGGTGTTTCTAGTGTAAAATACTTCCACACAGCGGACATGTTTCGATGAAAAGTTTGTTAGCTGTTAGCCACAGTGCTGCTAACTCAGTCCTCACGTTGTAGCTGGCTGCAAACTATGAACTGGATTTCCTGAATGTGAGGGGGGTCTTATTACTCTGGGTTCATGAGACACACCGCCGTTCAGGAAATCCATCCTATAGTTTGAAGCCAACTTGCATCATGGATTGGAAAAATCCGATACGTAAATTATGCTGGTATCGGAGGCCGATACGGATACTGGATCGGATCGGCCCCATCCCTTATCTGAATGTATGCTTTCTGACTTAAATACCAGCATCACACAGTTCCAACCATATAGATCTCCAATGTGAATGTCATGTTGTAAAGCGACGTAGCCTTACCAATAGTTGTGCAATACAGTGTTTCCCTGGCAAAGTGAAAGCAAACTCTTGGTCCATAAAGCCGCTGCATAATGAGACAAACAGTCCTTGTAACCCTCAGAGAGTCCTTAGAACAGTTGAGTCTGAAAACACTAATGACTGAGTCCAACACAGATGGGCCTCGTCACCTTCATGTAGCACCAGTTGCTATCAGTGATTGTTGATGCTGTTTTTCAGAGGCCAGACACCTGCTGAATCTGACTTCCAAATCTTGGAAATCGCCCGTAAACTGGAAATGTACGGTGTCCGCTTCCACCCAGCAGCCGATCGCGAGGGCACCAAAATCAACCTGGCTGTGGCTCACATGGGGCTTCAGGTTTTTCAGGTAATCACTGCTTCAATATCAGCTCTGAATAACACACGGCTATTTAACAATGTTGCTAACAGC